CCTTCCCTGAAAAGAAACCGCCGTTCTAGCAGCTCGTAGAAACAAAAAACTGCCCCGCTAGAAGTCTGCACAGGACTCTACGTTGAAGAACAATTGCCGAATGGCGGTCACAGATTTGAGCATGGCCCAAACATTGCAGTGACAGTTTGAGAAAGGATTAAAGTGCTCTGCAGCTTTTTAACAAGTCTGTGTCATGGAGTGTGTGATTGTCTCATTATGTATGTCATTAGGCCACAACAATTTAATTTGTTGGTTCTCGGATTTTTTCAGAAAAGATATAAAGCGACAGGGCGAAAAAATAAAAATAAAAACAGGTTTAGGCATCCTATGATAGCCCCATATGCTACAACAGGAGCCATGAAGTCAACACAAAAGGCTGGGTTAATATTTAAACAATGAATTTTGAACTTTTAATGAATGAATGAATGAAGACCTTTATTGTACATTTTTGCCCCACTGGGCTAAGCACAGGTCACATTATACATATTCGAATACATTTAATCAAACCACTGCATTGATAGATGCAAAAAACTGTAAAAACTAGGAAAATAGGACTTTCCCCAACTGTTGGGGGGCAAAATATGAGCATATTTGAGTTGATTCAGAACCAGAATCTTTTTTTTTTTTGCAAATCAGAAAAAAAATGAAGAGGCGAATCCTAGAACCAACAAATTAAATTGGTGTGGCCTATCTGTATCTGTATCTGTATAGCCGGTATAACCGCCTTTCGGCGTAACACACCAGCTTCGCAGGCACGCGGCGCGGCGGCAGCTGGCTATATTACACCGATCGACTTGTTACACCTAACCCTTGAACTTCTAGCTCTAGACATTGTTTAAAGCTATCTATTGACAATGCCCCTACTGTACTTGGTGACAGTGAGTTCCACTCTGCGATAGTTCTAGGAAAGAATGAATTCTTGAACCCCTCAATCCTCGGTTGATAACTCTGGTACTTGAATGCGTGGCTATTTCTTGTTCTCTTCTGGGCTGGTATTAGGTACTTAGTAGTTGGGACATCCACCAGTTTATTAGTCATTTTGTACATCATGCATAGTCTAGACATCTTTCTTCTGTCTTCCAGTGAGGTCCACTGTAGGTTTCTTTTCATTTCCGTGACACTAGCACCTCTTATATAGTTGTTCATACAGAATCTTGCAGCTTGATTCTGTACCCTTTCCAATTTGTCTTTGTCTTTCTTTGTATATGGATCCCATACAGTCGCAGCGTATTCTAGGTTCGGTCTTACAAGTGACGTGTATGCAAGTGATTTTACTCTAGTTGGACATGCCCACAGATTACGTTTAATCACTCAATAATGTATGTCATTATGTCAGGGTACAGATTCTACTGGTACATTGTACTACTAAAACATCCCAATCGGACTCTTTGTGAACAGAAACTCCAAAAATTTCTTGTAGAAGCAATGGAACTCTTAGTCTTTTCAACAACGAAGGATGAAAAGTCACCCTTTAGTTGCTACACCAGAAACGTCAAATACTGCAACGCTGAAATATCTTTCAGACCAGATTCCTGAAGTTCCATAGAAGAAACTCGAAAGCGTTTCGCGTGCACCGCGTGTGCTACTTTCAAAAATCAGAATACCAGATCCAGTAGTTGGAAGGGTTACTTAATGAATGTCCTTCAATGACAAAGGATAAGATGTTGACGTTCTAGTAACTCTTAATCTGGTACAGATTATAAAAGAAGAGTCAAACTACAAGACTTGTAGACTTGTGCGCTTTGACTGAAGCTCATCTGTGTTGGTAGAATCCATAGGTATAGAGTTCAAGCTTTGTTCGAACACAAGAATTTATGGTAAGTTCCCTTCTTGTGTTGGAACAAAGCTTATATACTCTACATTCAAGCTGAGGCCACACCAATTTAATTTGTTGTTTCTCGGATC